TTGTTTTAAGTATCGTTTGATACTTGGTTTTGTTTTATGTTTTGTTCTAAGTATCATTTTGATACTTAAGGAGTTTTACCAAAGAGTATCAATTGATACCTTTGATTAGTTTCATTCATGCTAGACATGAACAGATTTGTGTATTTAAAGACCGCCTGTTTCTATGATAGAAAAGGTAGACTTCGACAGACAGTATTTCAATATACTTGGTTGAACAGTTACTTCTTTGTTCCTCAGTACACCCTCGAAGCCTCCTTTAGGTCTCAGCTCTCGCCTCCTCTCTGGAAGAGCAGGCTACCTGCCAACTATCATATCTTTACCGATAACGTGATTAGCACCTTGCGAATACGTTACAACCACTGCCATAGTCCTGAGTCGATGTTTCACTGCTAGACCACTGTGGGGTACAATCTGCCCATAGGTGCCATCTAGTAGTCCTATAGCTATTCCTATTGCTATCACTTCCTGGCCATTGGCAGGTATCTTGATTTCTTTGTTGGCATACAGGTCGTATTCTGCTGCCCCTTTGGAACCCTTGGCAGGCTCATTTGTCCCTTGGTCCAGCTTTTGTATCCGGACTCTCTTATCTTGTCACATTGCGGCAATCTTTACATGTAAGGTTTCTGCTTACACTCCTCGTATTGGTGTCGATGACACCACAGGTGAACTGTTGAGATATCGTGTTGTACACAGTTCGCTGTTGAAGGTCATCTTGTTCTCATTCCAATCGATCGTCCGCTTAAGCTTTCGTATTGATACCATCCTAGGACTATCTTATAGTTTTTGAGGTCTGCTATCTGAAAAGTCACCGTTTTCCTATTTGTGTCAATGTCCATAAGTACCGTCACCATATGCGTGATAGGACTCATTGTGCTTTGCTTTCCATCTGCTAGGTAGACTTGTCTTACTTTCTTCGCTTTTTTGGTGTAGAGTGTGTATTTGTTGCAAATTTCTTTGTCCACAAAATCTTTGGTCACTTCCAAATGTAGCATTGCATATATCATTGTTTCTTCGTACTTTTCATTGTACATCTTCGTCTTGATCATCACATAATCTCTGTCTTCTTCTCCCCTTTGCGTGTGCTGTGCCGTGTACTAGTTTGCTAACTTGATGAGCATTCCAGGTCCATATCTTGGGTCTCCCAGACCACCTTATACTGGGGACCCTCATCTTTTTCTGCCAATATATCCTCAGCCATGATCTTGCAGATGTTGGTTTTCTTTTGGAATTACAAATGATTGTTTCCAGCTACCTTCGTTCCTTGATATCTATTGCCTGGTCGGCTTCCGTATTTCCTTATCTGATATCCTGCCTGCCTGCATCTCAGTAAGAGTTTTCCATTCATCCTCCTACCGTGTTCTTCCTTGGATAGGTTTAAGGCTAGTCCTGATCTTGTTTTGTCTAATGCTATTGGTTTGCCTTGTGGTAACATTCTGTTCTCACTTCGCGCAGCTTGTGGTCTGAAGGTTCCATCTGTATTCTAGGATGACTTGACCGTCCTATGTGCTATTGTATTTGCTGAGTTGTTTCGAACCATGATTAGTTTGCTTTCCTTATTGATTGCCCATCTTGCCAATCGTTCCGAAGTTGTATAGTCTAAGTCAGAAATTCCATATGCTTCTCGTAGTTGTTGACTACAGTTTCTTAGCAGGATAATGTAGAGAGTGGCATCATCGAACTCTGCCTCATATTTTACTAGTGGACATTCGTTCCGATATGCTAAAAACATCAGCTTCCCTTGTGGTACTTTTTGCAACTTTCTTTTTGCTGCCTTCTTGGTGTAGAAATCGCCCAACTGTTCGAGGCGGACCACCTTCAATTCTCCATAGGTGTCCTAGTGCCTTTGTTTCTTTCCATCTTGGAAGGGCATAATCCAGTGCCCAGCGAGTCCTCTTAACAGAGATTCCACAAAGGGGATCTTGATCTCGTCATAATGTTCTCCATATCCTTTGACGGAGAAATATCCTTTGCATTGTGCTAAGAATATTTGTAACTTATCTTCAGCTCCCACATATATGTCTCGTTCTGTAGTCTTTGGTCGTTGGATATTTCCTTGTCCTGTGTTTTGTATTGCTGTAAGAAATGTCTGCAGCTCGTCTTCAGTCATTCCAAGTGTATTGGCGACTGGTGCCAGAGTGGCTGGGGCTAGTGGCCCAGGTACTGCTGATCCCAACATCCTTTATGGTCGTAGAGTTCTGTAGGTAAGCTATCGGCAGGTGATCCGTTCTCTGGGGTTACTGGACTTGCTGCCCTCAAGGGCTCTGCTGAAACATGATTTAGGTCATAGCTAAATCCCCCTACATTAAGGTTTTGATCGTGGATGCCGATATCTCCTTCCCTGTCCGGGTTGAAGGAAGCCATCCTGTATTGCTTAGTGTCGCTCTTGGCGACACTTTGTAATGAAAATATCCCTCCTCAGATAGTTAGTTCTTGGCAATGGGAATGATACTTCTCTTCTTCTGTTTCTTTCCTTAGTCTTATGATAGCACTAGGCCTCTGCCTAGCTTACTGAAAGTACAAGACCGTCATCTTCTATCAGGAATGCCTATCCTAAGCTTTCTCTAACTCTTCTTCCTGAAGAACTTTCCTTGGCGTAACAATAACGCTGCAATAAAGACAAAGATGGTAATGGTGTTTTATATTCGTTAAAGTAACAAGTAGGAAAAGGACTTAGAACAAAGTATGAAGAACATATCCTCTGTGGCCGCATCAGCCTCCTCTATAGTGTTCTTCTAACCCATAGTCATGTAACATATAGTAGTCACATGTACGAAACCACATCATAACAAACTAGTCATATGACCAAAGTGGTCACATGTTCAAAACCCATGACCTCCTAGCGAGGTCATCTGCTAAAACTCATAAACCCATTATAATGCAATAAACCTGTCATATAACTCAAACGAGTTATATGTCCGTCACCCATGACCTCATCATGAAGTCATGTGCTAAAGCATGAATCATATGCTCAAGGTATACCCACAAGGCACACTTGTAAGGCAGACTTGCTAGGCGTATGTCCTATGACTCATATTTGAGCCATGTACGCAACATAATCAATCCTAACATCATAAATCATATGACCTAGATGAGTCATATGCATAAAACAATAACATACCTATGACTCATAATCATGAGTCATGTGAAAACCTTTTCCGTGCCAAGCCACATTCGTGACACTTAGATACTTGATTTATTTCAAGTATAGTTTAATGCTTGATATTGTTTTATGTTTTGTTTTAAGAATTGCTTTGATACTTGGTTTTGTTTTATGTTTTGTTTTAAGTATTATTTTGATACTTAATTTATTTTACCAAAGTATATCACTTGATACCTTTGATTAATTCTGTTCATGCTAGAACATGAATAGATTTGTGGATTTAAAGACTTCCTAATTCCGTAATAGAAAAGGCAGACTTCGACAGACAGAAATTCAATATACTTGGTTGAATAGTTCTTTGTTTCTCAGTACACCCTTGAAGACTCTTTTAGTTCTCAGCTCTCGCCTCCTCACTGGTCGAGCAGGCCACCTGACAACTATTGTACCTATAACTGATAACATGCCTAGTACCTTATGAACATGTTACACATACCCCTGCTTGCTACACCAAAGTACAGTTACCACTTTTGGTTGTCACCCGACTAATGCACCCTCCGAGTACATTAAACCTGCTTTTCTGATATTTGAACCCCGGATTGTCCTACCATTTTTGTTCTAGCAGCCTCTTGGCCAATGTTTACCTCTTGGCACTGGCCTCAACCCCCTGTTGCCTAAACTCAGCAATCAGGGATATCAACTATCCCTACCTCCACTACCTAGTCTATTTTCTTGTTATTTCACCTTTCCCCATTCATCACTGTTGCTGTGGTTACGGCATTTTCAGCAGGGATTATCTCAACTCCTGGATTCCTCTAATAAACGGACCATGTTCCTCCTCCGAGACAAATAAAAAATAATAATAAGCCAGACCTTACTAGGAGATGCAACTCCAACGTCCTACAGTAGCATATAGTACGTTTATTCCGTTGGAAAAATAGTGGCCTCCACAGCTCTATAGGAAGTTTGGCACAATAATCATCTGGGGCGTGGAACAAGATTAGGCTTGGCACGGGCAAGATTTAGTTCCAAGTTTTTTCAACCTCCTGATTTAGCCACCAACGGTCGAATGACTCTTCACTCATTTGTACCACCCATTGCTCTGGTTCCTTATCACCAGTACTGATTCAAAGGCAAAACAAGCTTTTCCCACCTATATCTCTTTCAGTATGTTTGTTGTTCCTACACCACATGGGGTACACACTTCGATTTGTTCCTCACATTAATTCTAGAAGCTCATCAACAATCATGGCTCGCTTTCCTCCACCTAACATATTTTCGCTTGGTCCAGTGGTTGGGTTTGTTTTTCACTAAGTCTTGGTTGTCAGGTTTCATGGTGATGTCCAGTTCCCATGTGGGAATACCTTACCCAGTACAGTACAACACATGAGCATTTTCTATGTACAGCCATTGCCAGGAACAAGGATCGGGTGAAGGCAGGAGTTCTGAGTTAATTCGGGAAATTTTGAAAGGTATGATGCTGCTCGGAAGCGATAATTTTTTCCATTCTGTCTCACTTTTTCCCCGGACATAAGTAATCTGGACTAGTCGGGAAAAATGATAGCGCTTTCTCGCAATAACTTCTATGCAAATCACTGTCGTAAGTAATAATAGGAGGCAATCAGAGACTTGTTATAGCCCGTGGTTCTCGATGGCGGAGTACGGTATTGGAGGAGACTTTAAGGAACCCCAAGCACTGCACCGGTATCTCGATAGGGTCACGTTTCACTTCTGGCATCACATTTGAGTATGTATAACAACTCATACCGTACCAATATTTTCGTGTTCCTGGGTGGGACCAGTCCCACCACACCAACTTCAGTTTAATAAACAAATCCGCCACCCATCTGCTACCTTATATATGCTCCCAAATCCCTCCGTGAAATCCTCGTCAAAGGTTTGGCCAAGCCACCCACTGCTACCGGCTACGGTGCTCGAGGACTTCACAACTCCAGAAAGCGTTACATTATGTCTTTTCTAGACCTGCCAAACGAGATAATCCTTCTGATCGCAAGAGGCTTCCGGACTGCAGACTTTCGAACGGGGGGGAGATACCGACAACGGGAGTGTCCTCGGTAAGCAAGACATCTGTCCGCACACTGATAGACTGCGATGTCGACACAACGGCCAAGGGGGGGAACCGCCTGACGCTACTACACGCAACAGTTCGCGAGAGACGTCCCGCAATCGTAGAATTACTCCTGGAGGTGGACGGAATCGTCCTACATTCGCAGCAGTGCGACCGAACGCCGCTACGCGACGCCGCCACGATGGGAGGACACAGATAAGCCAGGCATTCCCGGCGGGCCCGCTAGCCCTATACCCTGCGGCCAACCTATCCGACAAGGGGATGACACTGCTACACCTGTCAGATGAGGGGCTCGACGCCAACATCCGCGGCACGTGCAACTGGACGCCGCTGCAGCTGGCCGTTTGTCAGGACAAAGACCGGAACTACATACTCATGATACTGCTAGCCAATAAGCGCGTGGACCCGAACCTCAAGAGCCAAAACGGCTTGACACCATTTCGTGAGGCGGTCAAGCTCGGTTGCGAAGCCGCAGTTCTGATATTCATGACCTCTGGCACGCTCGACATCAGCGCCGGGGACTCGGGCGAGGAGACGCTGCGGCAAGAAAGAGGAATGAGGGAGTTTCTAGGTTGCTGCTTGAAAGGAGCGATCTTGATCTTGATGCCAATCGTGTTGGTAGCAGTTCAATTAGGTCGCTGGCGATGAGCTACTCCTCTACTATCAGGAAGCTTGTGCTGGATTATGGGGGTTCTGGACAGCAAGTTGTGAACGAGGCATCCGTCTCCCGGAAGAAAGTGGCTGGAGGGAGAACTGGGAGGTGGAATAGGTGGGGGTATGCCTAAAGTGTGTACGATAGAAGCGTGTGGACGCAATACCGTTCGTGCGACTATGAAAGTACAACTCAGCTGAGTGAGCTGTTGCGATTGAAGACTTGATTGCATCGTCTTTGCCACCTCGACTTGACACTCACAGCAAATGGGCGGGGGAAACACGAAGCAAAGATGGAACAGGAGCCCTCGGGACTCAGGGGAGACACCAGATGATCCAATTCCTCAGAAAAATCCAACACCACAGAACAGCGAACCATATCAAATCACATAGGCACGAAGCCATCAAAATTCCAATTCCATTTCGCCTGCACGATTGCGTACATGAGCTGCCCTCATGACCCTAACACCCCTCCGAGCAAGTACACCCCCAAGAACATGCCCCTGATCGTACCATTGGCATAGAATAATAAAAAAGCGAGTACGTGAGGCAATTATCTTCCCTCCCCTTTCCGCCTGATGGCCTTTCCATCTGCACCTTTGACTCCCTCGTGCGCGCTGAAACTTTTGAATTTCCCTCTACCTTACCCCAGCATCAAGCAGACGCCAGGCGGCCCCTGTTAGCGCTACTGGGAGAGTACATTCGGGATGAAAGCCAATTGGCCAATTCCTGCGAGCTATCGGGCCGCCTCAAGTGTGGGGGAAAATGCGATGTTCCTTACAGGCGTACGGGGAGCGTCCGGTTAACGCCTTCAGCGATCGCTTGCATTAGCGTCTCGTTATCGATATCGCATAGGGTCTCCGGGGGTCTAGGTCTGGTTGGTATTTGTAGTATCGTGGTGGTGGTGAGTGCGGGTCGATTGTCTATAATGTTATATCAAAGGGTCGCCTGTTATATGTGCTTGTAATTAACGGGAGATGGCTACCCGAAAAAGTTAGACCCATTTTACGAGGTCACAGCACAGTACGAGTAGGGGGTTGAGAGTATTTACTCTGTCTCCTGTTGCGAAGGCGGATGGTCGGTATTATACGTGATTGCAATCTCGACTGGTTCTCTATGGTTGTAAAGTACATTACAGGCGCGACACCATCACATCGATAGGGTATTATACTTGTATTTTCACGAGTAATTCGTGCGGTGATTGATATGTTGGTCCTCTATGTTGGTCCTCTATGCTAGAAGTGTAGGGGCTCCTTGCCTTCGTTGGTATGGTAGGTTGTTTTTCTATCTTTTTGTCCCTCGGAGGCGCCGAGTAGCTCTTTTCTCTTCCCCCCCCCACTTTCTATCAATGATAATTTCACCCTATCGAAAACCTTTCAACCCCTCCCACACCCCTTACTGTTTTCCTCGGAAGTTCAACTATCATACGGAATAATATATTTATTAATGCACGGATATGTAATCGAGGCATCATGGTGCGTAGCTATCCTTGGAATGGAACATCCTGTGCCGCACTCGGGCACCCATCGACCGGTTCCAAATCAAAAGGAGCACGCACAATCGGCGCCGCTGATTTGGATTGTGTAACATCGCTCTTATCGTGGTTATCACTTCTATCTCACACTACTCGTATCGGGGCGATACTCGGGTACCGGCAATACATTAGGCGTTTGCCGCGGCTCGCGCCTTCCGGTACCCAATCCGGAGCACGGGAAAATGATGTGCTGCTCTCCGCGCGGTCCGGCCCGAACGGTGCGCCGTGCGTAAAAGAGGTCCCTCTTTGAAACACCGACCTTTTGTGAACGGTTCCGCGGCGATCAACCCGACCTCAAAGCTTGGGATTACCCACACCTCTGGCAACATATCGGTGGTGTTCGTCAACAGTGCTTCCAGCCGCCTGGCAGAAAAATGTAAAGTAGCTTCGGAGCCCCGTGCCTTGCAAATCTACGTATCGAGGTTTGAAGATACTGGGTGCGCAGAGCTTGGTAGACATGCAGATTGAGAAGGTTGATTAGTGTCTAGATGCTACTTTTCCCGGCCCATTTTCTTTTCTTCTTTTTTTTGGAAAGTGTCTTCTGCTTCTTCCGCAGATATATTTAACAAGCAGGTCAGTCTACCCCCAGCCCCTGCGCTCTGGTTTCTCAATTTTGCGGCCAACGGTGGTTGGCACTACCGGTAGCGATACGATTGTACAGTACAGTACCTGCGCTCGTTAACGTTGGGGGATACGGGTGCTCAAACCTTGGATGAGATTTGAATTGGTCTGGAGTAGATTTCTATGGCTAGCACTGATTTGGTTAAACCCCATCCCCCGTCTAGACCGAACCCCATCTGCCCACCCAATGTTCCCACTGGATGGGCTTATGTTAGGGCGGATGGGGATGAATCTTTGGTATGAAAACAATAAAAGAATAAAAGGGTAGTGTAATGAAAATAAAAAGGAAGGATAAAAAGAAAGTAGGAGAGAAAAGAAAGAGACAGAGGCGGGGAATAGGATCAGAGTACCAGTGCTCGTGCTCGAGCAGGCGGGAGGAAGGAAGGGTGAAAAAATGAAGGTATCATGGGGGGAAGAGAATCGAAGGGGAAGGGACGAGCTGGAAAATGGAAAAAGGAAAGAAAATGGAAAAATGGAAAAAAGAAAATGGAAATGGAAAAAGAAACAACCTACTCGCAGAAGCACAATTCACCTCGGATCACGTGCTGGTACGTTCTCCGCTTGTAGGAAGAGCTGCACCTCTCCGCCCCCACCCCAGCAGTGAAACTTGGCTGGTGTTGTGTGATGAATTTCGGTATTAGGTAGTCTCGAAGGGAGCAAAATTCGTGACAATTATCTCCATGTGGGGTGGGTAGAAGGCGCGGTTCACCCATTCTTGAGAATTGGATATGCCAAATTGTCCTGTTGATTGATCGCTGATCTAACTGCACTTCTGCATTACTACCGTACTCGAGTACAAGTATTGTCACCGCTGGGGGTACGACGAAGCAGGGCGGGTGGCAAATAGGCATCAACAACAAGGAAAATTGCTCTCGATAATGGTCTGTCGGCGAGTGCCGTTACCTGCGTCAGGACAAGGGTTCGGGAGCAAAAATAACCCCCTCCTACGAATCGACGATGTCAGGAAAGCGATATCCTGGTTCTCCGTGTGAGGTAAGTTAACGCTTCCAGCTATAAGAGTAATGCGAGTATTTCCTTTTGATGTGCGAAGTGGACTACCGTATCTACTACGCTGTGGCATGTCCGCGTACGGATGAGAAACAAGTTCAATCGCCCGCCTTTTGAAGTTTATTGTCAATAATCTCACAGCTCACTACAAGCGGCAGGAGGGGAACATCACAGTTGACTAGACAAGATTAACCGCTACCATCTTGCCTCAATGCACCGGCCCAATTCACGAGTGGTGTCACTCGCGCGGCCGAGTAGATACATCGATAAACTCAACAATAAGCTTGGTGCTGGTGGTGTAGAACTTTCGTACGTATGCCATCCACAAACTAACGAATTCCGTGCTCAGGCATCTCAAGTCCCCTTGTTCATTATGATGCGCGCGGATTCTACCGTGAAAAGGGACACGTGGGCGTCGATGTTGCTCTATGGTATGTGGTGAATCGGAGTATTGCTCCCTTCATGTTACTTGATTTGTTGGGGCTCATTGGCAGGTGGCGAACAGCGATTATAGATAATACTGTACTTTCAACAGGCATCAGGCGCGGCTACAGAAGACCCACCGCTGCGTGCCTGTAAACGAGCGAGTGATTGGCAGTGACAATGGACTAGATGCAGCGTTGGCATCGACACAGTGGGATCCCTTGCAAATGGTTGGGCAAACCCGAACCCGCGGTGGTATTTTTTTCTTCTTCTATTTTTGAACCATCCGAGAAAAGCTAAGGGGAGATCCGGTATTCTGGAAGGCCCTTTCTCAACGCCTTTTGTGTACCCCCTCCTCCCTCCCTCCAACCCCCCTATTTCCCCCCTAGAAGCAGAAAAAGGAATGAAGGAGGAGTACATCTATCTCTTATCGCATGCGCTGCCTTGGTATTTTCAGACGGATCACACATGGAAGGGTGGATGGCGTTGGTTCGGAGAGCCGTCGTCTGGGTTAACATCCTTGTTCCAGCAATTGAGCTCCGCTATTGGCTGAGGCATGGAGTGGCGAGAAATGGGCAGAAAAGGGAACTAGCAACCCATTTATTATACTGGAAAGGATTTCGAGGGGATCCTTGACGTAGTACTGTACTCTATAATTACTATGTACAGTACAGTACACGTACCAAACATAACCACGAAAACGGGGGAAAAAAATCTATATAGAAGTTGTCTGTACATCTCCGACCGCCCATAGCAAATTCGGACTCAAATGTTCGGGTTCATTATTCCTAGTACGTGTATAATTGGGTGGGAATCCGGTAGTTGTGGAGCTATCTAATTTTGTACACGAAGGCTTACTCGCTCGTCAATTCCTTCGTCTGCAAGCTTTACCGGCCCGTGGACAAATTCCGGGGAGGGGGGGAACGGCAATATCAGCGGGCCTTAGCCTGCCAACATTGAAGTGAGTGATTTTACATGCCTCAGGCGCCCCTCTCTCAGAAACTAGACAGAGATTTTAAGTCAAGACTAACGGCTTTCTGCTGCCACCACCTCTTGATAAGCGACTTCTCCCTCCTCGAGTTGTTGATTCGATGAAGTGCAGTGAACGGGAAACACTCTCCGTCCTCGCCCTCGTCCATGAAGCTTGCCAAAGAATTGGGGTTAGGATTGTGCTTGGCTGTCGCTTGGCTCGGGTTCGGGGAGTGTTTTTTTTGTTTTTGTTTCTGTTGTGGAAATATTTCGTATCATGTCTGCTGGAATAAGGCACCGAGAGCTTATAGTCCGATGGTGGGGAGAAACAACTTTGAAACACCTCAAGTAATTAGCGAGAAAGGCGCTACCTGTTTTGATGCCTGTTTTGATGCCTGTTTTTAACCCCCCCCCCTTTTCTCCACCTTTTTCCACCCGCTGTCCCCCCCCTCTAGACTCTGGATTGGATGATGGTGAGGAAGGTATGGTGGGGCAACCTGTAGATAAAGGAGACCTCCAAGATCATCGACGGGGGGACCACCTTTCCTCTCTAGCACAACTTCATCTTTTGTAACTAAGTCGGCAACTCGAGCTATAAAGTCTCGAGTTTTGTCTCTTCTCCGCTGCCCCAAACCTTGTCAAATATCAAAATTTTAGCAACATCAATCCCGATATGATGGGTTATGAAGCTTCCCAAGTCGGGCACTATGACCCGACGTTCACCCAGAATACCCGCGCTGGGCCGGACCCCAGCCGACTATGGAGGACTCCGTCACCGCCGATATTTTCCACCAACGTCGATGCGTTCTCGCAACATCCCAGGGCTCAGTTAGAACAAGCGCAATCCTTGGGGCGGCGGCGCAAACTCGACTCAAGCCGTCGGGGTATTGATGGTCTTGCATCTCATCATCCTAACCTTGCTCTTATTACCGATACCGGGGAATGGCCCAGCGGTTTCGCGCAGTTCCCCCGCAACTCAGTAGACTCCAATAGTAGCTACAGTGCCAACCACTCCCAACCGGACACCATAGGTTGGAACACCGATGCTGAAATTGACCAGTGCGTCAGGTAAACACAAAAGCTCTAACACCCCGTCTCTTTAATGAGCTAACCAACCTTTATTTGTAAGCCCCGAGGAATACTCGGCCCCAACCTACTTCACCAGTGTCGGCTCTCACAATAGATTGAACACTCCCATGCTTAGTCCCGATGTTTATAGCCACCAAAGCGGTTCGTCCACCCATGCCACCGGAAACGCTATGGGCCAAATCAACAACTTCTTCTCCCTTCCTTCCAGTTGCCCACAATATCCCGCCAGACAAGAACAGCAGTCATTCGGTGGTCCCCAGGGCCATGAACCATATCCCCAAGGCCATGGACCATATTCTCACGGCCATGAACCAATTCCCCAAGGCCATGAACCATATTCCCAAGACCATGAACCATATCCCCGGGACCACGAACCATATCCCAGCTCAACCATGGGCGATATCGAGCCTCTTCTCCACCACCAACCCACCCACCGCGATGGGGGCCGGGACGTCACGGAGGATCACCAAAACCCGAGCCCGTACGTGTGCGATATCTGCTTGATAGGTTTTGGGCGCGAAACAGATTTGAGGAGGCACGAAAATACGGCCAAAAATCACACTCCTGCGAAGGGTCCTGCGTGTCCGGAGCCCAAATGCAAGCATCCAGATAAATTCACGCGGGCCGATAATTTCCGGACCCATTACCGGAAGCAACACGGCAAAACCGGTGATGAGGCCGACAGGCTTATTTCCGAGTGGAAGGCTAGGGAAGAAATTAGGTCCTAAGTGGGAGACGGCGGCCGTGTGGCAACGCGGAGGCGTGAGAGTACTGCGGTAAAGAAGGGCGGTAGTGCCTGGCGAGGGCATATGGCGATGGTGGAGGACGTGGGGAGGGGAGAGCGTAGGAAGGGGGGGGTTCTGACTTTAATACTGCCGGTACGGTACTCTCCTGCGGTGCTTGTACGACTTTTGAGGGTCATAGCGGCTGTGTACTACACCTCCCCGGGAGGCTGCGCTAGGCTGATTAGAACAGGGCTATGATGGGTTGGTTTCTTTTAACGGCCTCCTTTCTTTTTCCCTTTTTGGTCTTATTGTGCGTTGTGCTTTTTTCTATCCTGCGTCCTGGGAGGAAACACTTGTTTTGCATTCTACTTGTATGAGCTGGCTCTGCTTTTTTTCTCACTTATCGCTTCCGCTATTTTCTTTCTCACCCTAACGATGAAATGATTGCTCCTCCCGGGGCGTGTACAGTATTGTGGTTCATTCGGAAAATTTTGGGACGCAATGAGGTTCCGTGAGAAAGCTTCGAGTTCTCCGTGTGTTTGGTATGATGTTGTTGCAGATTTCCAAGTTTGAAAATTTCCGAAACTCTGGTCCATACAGCACAACAACTCTGCATCCGCCTGACTATGATTGTGAAAATCCCATCCAAACATGAATGTGTAAGATTACGGGATGAAAATCAAGATATTCCTTCCTTCCTACGTACTATCATAAGTAATTGGGCCGGAGATCACAAGGAAAAATCTGCTGGAATTTCTAGCTAGAGCCTTGGGCGAGAAAACCGGCACGTTTGGATTACCTCCATGTAGATTGGCGCGGGCTGTACTCATCTTTGCGAAGACAGATCCCGCCAACCTCGCTAACTGGGATCTAGTTGGTTTTCGAGGTCTGTTATGTCACCATAGAGAATGACCGGGACTCTCATGATAACGGTCCAAGTCTCTGGCTCGCCAATTTTCATCCAAATCTACATCATTTTAAAGGAAAGTTGCTGCAAGAGTACTTTCCATGTTTAAGAAAGAGCATAAGATACTTACCGCAGTCTTCTTTTGTGTTCGATGGTATTTTCTTTTCAGATATCCCTAAAAGTATACTCTCGCCAAGCCTAAAGAGTAGCGCAACAAGGGCAGGGTTTAATAGGTGCGAGAAACATGACTTTCACCTTCATCCTCCAAAGCGCCAAGAGCCTGGAGGACACGAGCCTTCTAGGCAAAGACAGGTGAGAGGCGCAGTAAACAGTTTGAGGCTATCTTCAAACATCGCTGACACCCTCCCCACTTTACACCAAAAATGGGCGTTTTCACTTTGTGAAATTTCAGCTGTCAGGCTGTAAAAAAAGTTTTAAAATTTGCTAGAACCTTTGGAGCCATTAAGATTTCATCATTCAACGGTGACAGGCTCTGTTGGTTGATGGACATGATGCAAGACAAGAAATAACAATGGTGAATGAAAGATACTCAAATTTTAATTAGGTTTCCCATACCAAAGGTACATGCAAACTGCATCCAAGCTGGCTACAGAGCTTGCAGCATTCAGAATGAAGTGGAAAAATTGATATAAGTTTTAACCAGAGATTTGGGGTAATTCCCAACACAGCTGAATTAATTTTCTCAATTGTCCCTTGCTTTGTGACAAATAAAGCATGGCTAAAATTAGCGATTTTGAGTAAAATGGGTGTTTTTTTTAGGGATTTGTGTGATAGCAAAGGTATACAGTAGCTCTTGGAAATCTTGTTATTGTGAGGAGGAAAAACACATGTGTAGTGGAGAGAGTACATGTGTTTGACAGGTGGTCCATGGCCGATTTGCTCCTTTTGAAATACATGGAAAATGTAACCAGTATGGGTACTCGGTTATTGGTGTTGTTTTATGTTTTGTTTTAAGTATTGCTTTGATACTTGGTTTGTTTTAATTATCGTTTGATACTTGGTTTTGTTTTATGTTTAGTTTTAAGTATCGCTTTGATACTTAATTAGTTTTACCAAAGTGTATTGATTGATACCTTTGATTAGTTTCGTGCATGCAAGACATGAACAGATTTGTGTATTTAAAGACAGCCTGTTTCTACAATAGAAAAGGCAAACTTCAACAGACAGTATTTCAATATACTTAGTTGAACGGTTACTTCTTTTATTCCTCAGTACACTCTCGCAGCCTCCTTTAGTTTTCAGCTCTTGCCTCCTCTCTGGAAGAGCAGGCCACCTGCCAAGTATCATATCTATTACTGATAACGTGATTAGCACCTTGCGAACATGTTACAGAGAAAATGTTTCTACATACTAGGGTAAACCCCTATGACTGATAGGAAAAGACAGACAAGTACAATCATTACTGTTCTAGCTAAGCACAAACATACCTTCTAATAATCTGCAGATATTACATATCTATTATCGAAAAAATTAGCCTGGTACTATTATTAGTGTAATTGATACTGCGGGTACCTTGTACTCTGCTAATGTTTCTGATACAGCAAAACTAAATGACTCAAAATATTCAGAAAAATATATGGCACAACTTGATAACAAATGACATTGTTATAAAAGGATAAGTAGTACAGTCATGTCCATTTGATAATGATACCCCACTCCGGCAACCACAACTGTAACATGTTTACAAGGTGCTAGTCACACCATTAGGATATAGTAGGATAGTTGGCAGGTGGCCTGCTCTACCAGAGAGGAGGCAAGAGCTGAGAACTAAAGGAGATTTCAAAGGTGTACTGTGAAACAAAGAAGTAACTGTTCAACCAAGTATATTGAAATACTATCTGTCAAAGTCTGCTGCCTTTTCCATCGTGGAATCAGAGGGTAAAATATAAATTTACAAATCTGTTCATTTCCAGCATGAACGAAACTAATCAAAGATATCAATTGATATACTTTGGTAAAACTAATTAAGTATCAAAGGGATACTTAAAACAAAACATCAAACAAAACTAAGTATCAAATGATACTTAAAACAAACCAAGTATCAAAGCAATACTTTCAACAAAACATAAAACAAAACTAAGTATCAAATGATACTTAAAACAAACCAAGTATTAAAGCGATACTTAAAACCAAACAAAACTAATAACCGAGTACCTGTACCAGTTACAATGGTGAAGTAGTCTTCAGGTTGAATAGTATCTCAGTTCAACAACAGTCTAATAAGCTGTTGTCATAGCCTCATCTTAAGTTTCGCATAGTTTGACATTGTTATGGTATTCGGATGGTAGATGGTGATCAGATAAGGTTGTCGAGAGCCTGTTCCATAGTCTGATTTTCCTCATCACTGCTTTCGAATTCTGGCTTAAAATATTGTGCCCAAAATCCATTCCTAGTTAGGAGCTCAATCTGCCATTGTGCGGTTTCTAGCATCGTTGGTGTCCAGTACATTGTGATATAATTGATTGTTGGATTGAGGGATTCATTTGGCATGTTGTCTTTCTACCATTTGTTCACCATGTCCCTAGCAGGCTCTAATCCTTCTAGCAGTTCCCAGCTGTTTTCGCTCGTTGGGAATCTTATCCATTTTACTAGAAACTGATTATTGCCATGCCAAAGGGGCTGGTCCCAGATCTCTTCAACTTTCTGTTCATCTTTCTTCTCAATAGCGATAGTTGTGGGTCAAGACTGGATTCATCCTGGGGGCTTGGAGGTGTCATTTGGGTGGAATCGCATGATATCACAGTTGTGGAAAACAGCAGTATTGCGACGCTACATGTGTCTATCCATCTGGACAATGGGGTTTTCTGTATGCTTGTCAAAGGATAAGACCTTGATGTGTTCTCCCCATCGTGCTTGTAATTTCCTACTGCATCCAATATTTGTAATGAACATGTTTCCGCGGACTGTAAGCATGTCACCTGGTGGAATAGGAACATGCTTGCATTGTCGCTTCTGAGCAGTAGTGGTGCTTCGGAATCGTGCAGCTTGAACAGCTTGGAAGGCATCGTTCTGAATAGCTTGATTGCGGTTTAAGTGTTCATCTGAGGTGGGGATTGAGGAGTTCTTGAACAGGGCTTCAGGTAGGAGAGGGTATCGGTGGCCGAAGACTGCCTTGTACAGCGACATACTCAAGATGTCGGAGTATCAGGTGTTAATATATGGGACACGCTCAGTGATTACGGGTTCCCAGTTGGTCTGTCATTCATTGATCATGTTCCTAATTCCAGTTTTGACTGCGCAGATCTTTCATTCTGCTTGGCCATTAGTCTCATGATATCCAGCAGCAGTCATAATATAGTGGATTCCAAGAGAGATCTAGGTTTGTTTCCAGAGTCTAGCGGTGAAATGGGAATCGGCATTACTGGCAATAGATAATGGGTATATATGGGGGTTAAATAGGTAGCACTAGAGGTTATTCCAGGTGTCTTTAGAGGAGTTGGTGACTTTCATTGGTATTAGCCATGTATATCTGGAAAACGTATTGACAGTTACTCAGATAGGGTCATATCCAGTGGACTTGTTGAATAGTCCTGTGAAATCGATGGCATAGGATTCGAATATTTCACAAGGTAACTGAAGGGTCTGCGCTTTTCAGTCAGGTAGTTGTGTTCGTTCCTTATTTGCCTGGTAGAGTTCACATTATTTGACGAAGTTGCGGAGGTCCTTTCATATTTCAGGCCAGTAAACATATTATGAGGCATATTAGAGGTTGCGGTCTGCACTATGGTGTCCTTGGTTGTGGATTTCGGTAATTACATATTCCCTAATGGCCATTCCATTGAACCTATAGTCTTTCGTGATGTATAAGAAATGTTAATTATAACAGGTACTGGTGTAGACCATTCCATTGGATATATTGTAGGGAGTAAGATCTCTTTACCTGGAGCTATCTATAGCTTTGAAATAGATTGGATCATAGTGGTAACCTGCTATCATCTGGCTTCGGAAAGAGGTGGTTAATTCCACTGTAGTTGATCTAACATCTCATTCATTCTCAATGAGTGATCCTCTTGTCGCTTCCATACGGTCTTTTTCTTCAAGGTTTCATAGAACTATCAGTGAAGCTTAAAGTTTGTGGGAGGCATGACAGAAATAAGGGTTTCATTGTTGTATACTCGTAAGGGTCCACCGTACAGTGGCCGTGAATCAATTATGTAGGGAGAGGATGGCGGTGCTGACTGGGCAGGGTGTAGGTAAGATATTGCATGTATGTAGGCTGCTTCTTGTTTGAGTTCTTCATGACCTTGGTGTCTTCTTGGGCTAGGGTTAAGAGTAATGAGATGTTGGATCGACCCATCATTAACTTCATCAATCATCTCTGCTGCTCCTTCTGCAGTTGCAAAACTGGTGTTTTTGGAATCATCAGCAGAAGTATAGTACGGTGGCTGGTATCTGTTGCCGAATTTAATTTCAGTGTGGGGAATGGGGCAAGTATTAAGATACCAGTGGGACCAGTAGAGTCTGCTTTGTTAAAGCTCGTGAGGAGCTGTACTGTGGAGGATGCACTCATCTTTCCTCTCATCATCGATATTTTTCCCTCGGTCTGTTCCCGCCACTCTGTACATGGTGTAAGAGAAGCAAGAGGAGAGAGA